CATGTAGAGTTACGATATCTTTATGTGCAAGAACTTGTTGCTTCTGGTATGGTTAGGATTAAGAAAGTTCTTGGTACTTTGAACCCAGCAGATATCCTTACGAAGTACATCGCGAAGGATACTTTGCACCGCCATCTTCCTACTTTCGGGTTTGAGGTTTAGCCACCCCATCTCGGGTTGGACTTTGCCACTCATCATCTTCCCCAGAAGAACCCAGATGAGAGAGAAGAAGACTTTGAGAGCTGAGAGAATCACGTTCTTGCGGACATGTATTTTTCATGCTTGTGCGGACATGTACTTTTGCGGACATGTACTTTTGCTTGCTTGTGCAGTCTCGACATGTCTTCGACTTTCGCTCGATTTAGGAACTTTCAGTTTTCCGGAACCAACTTTGAAGGTGACCTTTCTGTTTTCCGTTTTCTCCGTTCCGAAAAGGAAGAAACTTTTACCGTGAAACCTTGATGGTGGATGACTTTTCCGATGATGGTTTTAAGGTGCAACGGCACCACTTTTAATGTACATATGTAAGCTCACTTGACTTTCCCGTTCAGGGTGTTCGGGTTTTGTCGTGGGTTTTGGTTTTAACTTTGCGCCTTTTCGTCGCCACTTTCGCTCTGCGTTGCCCGTTTCACTTCGACTTTGCCTAACGGATGGAGCCGGCATGGATGCCACAGAGGTGGTGACTTTGCTGAGATCTTGCCGTGTGACGGTACTTTCGGTGGCACGCTGGTACAGGAACCGAACTTTGTGGTTCCGCCTTTGGGAATTCCTGAGGCTTTTTGTGACCCGACTTTGGTCACTTCGGGCCTCACTGGAGGACCTTTTGGAAACGGTCAACTTTGACCGCCGGCAGCTCGCTGACATTGCCCGTGCGAGGCAAACAACTTTTCTGGAACAAGGTGATCTGGAAACTCTGGCTGAGTCGGAGACTTTTCTCCGAAGGGAAATCGCGGACCAGCACTTTTGGATCAGGTTACTTTATCGGTTATCTGTTCCTCTGCAACCTTTTAGGTCTGAGCTGCCCTTCTGGACGAACTTACAGTTCACTGCGTTTTTCAGTACTTTTCTTTTGTCCTTGTCTGGAGTTGTGGAGCAACCCTGGCTTGGAGGAGCAAGGCACTTTTTGCAATTGCTCTTTGACGCGTACGCAGCTTACGCACTTTTCTATTTGAGGCGCTTTATCAATCAAGAAGTGCCGGACCTGCACATTTGGCCGGTGCTGCTGTGGAACTTTCTGCAGCGATGGCGCCAAAGACTTTGAGGCCGCCTGCCACTTTGCCGCCATCGATTGAGCGGCCACGGCCTGGCCATGGTTTTGGTCAGGGGACTTTTGTCCCTGACTTTTCGAACTTTGGCTTTTGGGGCACTTTGCAGCTTATGCTTGAGATGCTTTTTGGTGGCCGCCAGATGGAGCAGTTGTTTCGCCCTGGGACAACTTTTGACAACAACTTTGTCCTGGGAAAGTCGATACTTTTCCCTGGGTTGAGCCCGGTGTCGCCAAGCATGACGGCACCCGAACTTTACATGTTGATGCGCAGCCAACTTTTCTGGGTATTCCATGTGAGTCCGGGGAGCACTTTGCCAGGCGATCCTTCGGCATGGTCGCCCTTCATGTTATATCTTACTTTGCCAATGAGTGTTTTGGATAGAGCCTTGACCGCTGCCCGCCAGAGTGGAACTTTTACAGTTCACTTTCAGGATGTGGTGGGTACTTTGGAGAATTGCCTGAACATTTCCTTCAGCCCACGGTCGGCTTATCTTTTCTACACTTTCCAGCTGTCGATTTCTCAGATGCAGGGAGTGACTTTTCCTTTTGCTGCCAATGAAGAAATCGCTACGTTTGGCTTCCGACCAACTCAACATTGGTTGGCAGTCAACTTTGGAAGTGGACAGGCTAGGATTTGGAACAGGAGGTACGTGGACTTTCTGGTGAAAGTCGCGACTTTGCAGATTCCAATGCAGCCTACTTTTCTGACTTTTTGCGTGGTGAGACACTTTGGCCAGGCACCGTACACTTTGGTCGGCGATCTCAATCGCTACTTTGATGGTACATATGGTGTGCAGTGTCGTCACTTTCGACTGATGCACCTGCCGATCCTCCCAGAGGTGTACCAACTTTGTGAGGATATGCCCGAGGGCTGGGTGCCCCTCGCTGGCGCTACGCCGTCAACTTTGACGCGCCCTGCGAGGCTTTGAAGGCCACTTTTCGCCTTTTGAGGTTGGGCCAACAGCACACTTTTCGGCGTCTTTTGACGTTTGGTGCTACTTTGGTTGCTGCACTTAGATGGGCCAACCACTTTTGGGCCACGCTGCACTTTGATGTGCCGTGCGCAGTCACGACACTTTGCACCACGAGCACTACGAACGCTTACTTTTACCAGTCAACTTTTGAGGTTGTAGATAGGAGACCTCGTTGCAACTTTCTCCGAGCAGCTGCTTTGCAAAACTTTGGCCGTGAGCTCACACATGTACATGTACACTTTTATGTGTTATTGTACTTTGCGAGAATAAAGTAGTTAACTTTAATCTCGAGGAGGCGTGTGAAAATAACACCTCCCTTTCTCCCCCAGACTTTGCCAACCGTCGTTGGCTCAAGACCACTTTGCCCTACGAGAAAAGGCGCTGCTGAACTTCAGGGTTACTTTGGTCTAAGTCGTGTGAGCTTGTGCACGGAATTACTTTAGGGTAGTTTGGTGCGCATTCTGGACTAGTGTACTTTCGCACTATGTCTTCCAGGTTGTTGCCAGTGAATGGGAACTGTTGTAGCAGCATTGTAGCGTGGCATCCCGATGCTTCCCCTAGTGTTTTTCGAGAACCTTGACCCAGGGTCTCCAAACCCCAACGATCAGTAAACCATACCCTTCCCCGAAGTCCTACGCCCACCTACCCGAAACACTGTAACCTATGGGTAAACCCGATACCCCAAGCCCAAACCCGTTAGCCTGTAATGACCTAAACCCTAAGTCTAATTACCCTAAGCCCGAGATTCCCCTGCTGGAGCTTTGTCCGACCGATTCTGGCTCCAAGCAGTTCCATGGTTAACAGGTGAAGCGCAAGCCTCCACCTGAGGGGGGGTTGTTCCGATTGATCTGGTATAATCTTCATATTGAGACTCTGAGGAGGAGTGGTAGTAGTAGTAGTAGTAGTAGTATATGCCTGCCAGATGGCCCGACAATCCCTAAACCCTCCATTTCCATGGTTTCATCTTGAAGAACCCCCCCTTTGCGTGACTCTTCCGGCCAAGATGCTCCATATCTGGCAGGTTTCAGGGGAAGAGTTGCTTGGCCGAGCAGTGAGAGTCCAGTTCACGAGTCTGCAGCTCGGGGCCGGCCCGAGCATAATTCGCGAGCCTGAATAGATAGAAGAGGTTTCGAAATTCGGGGTGTAATGCAACATGAATGGGACTCAGAATTCAATACTGTCCATTTTGCAGGCTTCGATTTCGCCCAACTTGGCCAACTGAGGTTGGCGACCATACCTGCGCAGCAGCTAAGCAGCGTGAAGGCCTTCGAATAGCGAAGCACCAAGCAGGAGTCGGTTGCAGTTTGTACAAAGTTTAGGATTTAGGGGTTGAGGGTTTTAGGGTACAGAGTTTTGCTTGGCTTTAGGGATTTACTGTAGGATATAGAGTTTAGGGTTCGGGGGTTTAGGGTGTATAGGGTTTATGGGCTTACGTGGTGGCGATAAGGCGGCTGCAACGAACGCTCTCGAGTAAAAGCACCATACTAGCGAGAGTCATCTTTCAGAATCCGAATGGTAGTCCTGACGACAGTTCTTCCTGAAACTTAACGTGCCTTTAATCCTGAAAGCCTCTCAAATCCGAAAACACCCCAGGGCAAGTTGGAGCTGACTTTGGCTGTAGGGTTAGTTTGCGGATGGACGGTGATTCTTCGGGTTCGGGACATTGTGCTGCTACTTTTTATGTGCATGCACATAAAATGTAGCAGCACTGGGTAGTTGGGATTCCTCATGCTCGAGAGTCAACAAATTTTGCAAAGCCGTTGTGCCCTTCTAAATCCCTGCAGAGGCTCAAAGAAGCCCCCGAGCTCAGCCCAAGAGCAGGGTCAGCCCCGGCAAGGCCCTGAAGCGGGAACTACAGCGCTGTTGTGGCCTGCCGCGCTTCAGGCAAAGGCTTTTGCAAGATGGCAGTGCCTCGCCAAAGTTAAGGAGTTTAGGGTTTCGGGGTTTAGGCTTTGGAGCTAAGGGTTTGGGTTTAGAAACAAACCCTTGCGTTTCAGCCGTCATCAAAACTGGTCTGCGTTGTTTCACTTCCGGGTTCGCTGAATGACGCAGCTGTGGAATGTGCTTCTTGATACTTGATCTTGAGCTTCCGTGTTGCGGCATCTAATTCTGATCCTCTGCCACCAGTACCACAGCCACTACCACTACGACCACTCCTGCTCCTGCTCCTGCTCCTGCTGCTGGGACTGCTGCTACTACTACTACTACTACTGCTGCTGCTGCTTCTGCTGCTGCTACTGCTACTACTACTACTACTACTACTACTACTACTACTACTACTACTACTACTACTACTACTACTCTTATCCGTCCTTCTCCTACTCCTCCTCCTACTGCTACCGCTACTGCTACCGCTACCGCTGCCGCTACAGCTGCTGCTGCTTCTACTACTACAACTACCACCACCACGACGACGACTACTACGAGTATTGGTATACTACTTCTACCACTATGGCTTTCACTGCTGCAACTACCACCACTACTGCTAATACTACTCCTCCTCTTGCTGCTACTGCTACTGCTACTGCTAGTGCTACTGCCACCACTGCTGCTTCTGTCGCTACTCCGCACTACTACAACAAGGACAACAACAACTACTACTCCTACTTCTTCTACTACTTCTACTACTTCTACTACTTCTACTACTTCTACTTCCACTGCTACTACTGCGACTACGTCGATGGATTGCCATGACTGCAAAATCTTCTGCCATGTATTACTCTGCGAAATGCCGTCACAGCCGAGGTGCTTTGGATGACATGTCCATGCTTGAAGGTACCAGCGACTTGCAGCTGGTCTTGCTGCCCTTTTCGAGCGCATCGCAGCAACAGGCAGACGAGCTCGCGGATGCAGCTGGAGAGGGCGAGGTGTCCCTGGTAGAGGACGGGCATTCGGTTCTCATGTGTGATTGGTGTGATGGCTGTTTGGGTTTTTGGCATCACTATGATTCGTTGTTGTCCACGCTAGTAGGGTCTAGCTCGTAGTCCTAGTTGCAGCAGCGCTACCAGAACTCTTGTGGTAGTAGTAGTCGTCGTCGTAGTAGCAGGAGCAGTAGGAGTGGTAGAAGTAGCAGCAGCAGGAGTAGTAGTAGTGGTAGTAGTAGTAGTAGTCGTCGTCGTCGTCGTCGTAGTCGTAGTCTTTGTCGTAGTCGTAGTAGTAGTAGTAGCAGTAGTAGTTGTTGTTGTTGTAGCAGCAGCAGTAGCAGCAGCAGTAGCAGCAGCAGCAGGAGTAGTAGGCGCTACAGTAGTAGTGGCAGCGGCAGTAGCCTCTATGTGCCTCTATATTCCTCTATATATCTACCCGTGTAACTATGTATGTGTCTATCTAGGTTTCTTTAAACACTGACATACAACAATAACAGCTAGATAAATGAACATATGTATATGTTTATGCATATGTATATGTATATGTATATGTATATGTATATGTATATGCATATGTACGTATATATATATATACATATACATATGTATATACATATATATATATATATATATATACATATATGTATTTCACATCTGTGTGTGAATATATGCATATGCACACATAGATACTTGCGCATATGTACGCACACACACACACATAGATGTATACATGTATATACATGTATATATCTGTTTATGTATAGAGATGTACATACATAGGTATTTGTATACATGTATGCACACGGACGTGCTGCATTTTGCTTGGCATGTGCCTTTCTTTTGCCTCTCCGATGCTCGTTCCATCTCCACAAGGAGCTGCTCCAGCGACCCCAGGACCCAGACGCCAACGACCGGAATGGAGAAACCCCGCTTTACAGGAGGGGGTTTAGGGTTTGGGGGGGGGGGGGGTTTAAGGGGAACATTTGGACTAATTACCGCTACAGCTACAGTAGCCCAAATGGCGGGGGAAGTGTGCTTCATGAGCCGCTAGATACAGAAGATCCGAGTTCACGCAGGGCATCACTGGTCGGCTCAACGGAAACCGCTCGTCTGCTGCTGGAAGCAGGCGCTGATTTTGACTTGGCTTGCCGCTTGGCAATCACTATGACAACCCCTATGGGTTTGAACACATGACGAGGCACTGATGAACAGAGAGCTTGTCAGACGTACGGATACAGTATGTTCCAACTGTTTCTGATTTTTCGGCGATGTCCTACTACATTCTTGCAGCGAGCTTTCCCGAAGCCTGGACTCATATCCTTGGCGATAATCTGTAAAGCTTAATCCGTACGCTGCAAGCATTGAACCCGGAAGGTCGGAGCCTGTTGGTAGCCCTAGAGCTCTACTGTGTGAAAACTGCGCCGAAAAAAGATTCCGTGACTAACGCCGGTATGGAGGGCTGCGCTCTTGCCACAACAGGAGTTTCATCGAATAGGGAGCTTTCATCTTTTTGGTCGGAAGTGGGTTTAGCGATGCATAAAACAGGACCTTAACAGCTAGAAAGAATCGCCAATATGAGAATATCGACCACGGTTGCTTCAGGTGGACAGCACCATTTGACAGCGCTTGTTGTGGCCGCGGGCCTTGGCCACGTGGACACTGTGCGCGTGCTGCTCCAAGCGGGTGCAGACCAGGACGGCCACGAAACTTTTCGGACTTTTTTGGGTTTAGGGCTTGTCGGATTGGGCTGAGGACTTCAGGTTTGTGAGCTAGGAGTTTTTGAGGTTTCTGGCTTGAAGGGGTTTGTACTTAGTCTGAAGCAGCACAACAGAGCAAACGTTTTTGGGAGAGTTCGAGAGGCATTCTGGATTTACAGCAGCGGGAGAGAGAGTCGGCTCGCGAACTCCACAGATTCAGATCTGCAGGGTGTACTGTGGCAGGGTAAAAAGTTTCATCCGGTTTCAGTGGGTGCAGCTTAGCCCTTGGCATGGTAGAATCACTCTAGGGTATACATGTAACTTCAGAGAGTACCAAAGCGAAACAGAGAGTAAAGCCGACTTGACTTCGACCCAAGTTGGCACGCTCATACACAGAGAATTTTCTCTTGATGAAAGGATCACAACATGTGCCTGCGAAACTTGGCTTCTTACTTCCTCTCCCGCTGCAGTCGCATGTTACTCACGTATCCTTGCATGTCCTCGAACTAAACGGTGTGTCACGGGAGAGTGCCCCACTTGAGCATTCAAGCTCGCAAAGCCACGATGCCTTCAGACATGCTGTGTCCTTGCCAGGACAAGCGGTGTTCTGGAATCTGTGGGAGTGACGAAGGGTCCAAATTACTACGGGAAGCGGGCCTTGAGGAAGACCAGATTGATGCCATCTGTGGGCAAGATGGGGTGACAGCTCTGGGTGCGGCAGCAGGGCATGGTGAGGTTACGACGATGCGCTTGCTTCTTGAGTCCCGGCCCTACCACAGCACTGTACATGTCTGAGGAGTCAGTGTGGACATGTGAGTAATAAAGACGTCGGAACAGTTAGTACCAAGATCCCCTGCTTGTAGTACTATAAATGTACGATGATATACCCCCAAATTCTCCGCTCGCAACAAGCTTTTGCCGACATCACCCGAAAATCCTGTTCTAATCATACACGGCCCCTAATTTGGAGAATCTGGGCACTGGCTTGCTTTTATTGCCAGCTGCCGAAGTTGTACAGACTGTTTGCATGTGGGCGAGTCTGTTTGGCGCCCCTGTATAGCGCACCAGTAGACAGGAGCATCTGCCGGCAATGTCAGCAAAACCACATGGATATGCTTCGCTGATTGCATAAGCCCGGATCCTTTGCGGATTTGTGTTGGTCTGAGTATGGCTGTCCAACACATCGGCAGGGTCAAAGGCTTAATTTTTCTGCACATTCGCTGACACTGAACTGCCGGCTTGAAGCGTCTCCCATCTTGGCAGGACGATAGTTGCAAGAAGGCGAAAGCCCAACCACCACATGCCCCAAGCGGACCGAACTTCTCAGGCCAAGCCCATCCGAACCCCTCGCTTGACATGCAAGGAGCTTTATGCTCGGGGCTATGTGACCTACTCCAACCTTTGCAGCCCGGCCGCCGTTAGGGTCGTCCGTGCCTTTCCCTGCCTGGTCTCAGGATGCGATGGATCTCTGAGAGCAGCACTTGCGTAGTTGTAACTCGAAGCGGTGCTGTCTTCAACTAAGACGTAAACGAAGGACAGGGAGCATGCATGCCACCGGGACCCGTCCTGCACCCGTCCTGACCCCAAACTAGCAACTATGACATGTCTGCGGCTTCCTTCGTTCGTTTGGAAGGAGGCTTTGCTACTTCTCCCCTTGGCTTCACGCATTCTTCCATGCCGTCTTGCGTTTCTCCTGACTCCTGCAGACTCAGGTAATAAGGGCTTCCAGCAGAAGATGAAGGAGGCCGATTGCAAGCAAAGCCCGGAAGCGATTTCCAGTTAGTGTTTTCCTTGGGAAACTCCCGAGTTTCCTTCTTTCGGATCTGGGTGGTGAGAGTTTGACATGTGTATCCGGTGGAGGGTCATTCCCGCGTAGGTGCCCGAGTTGCATCCTAGAACGCCGGACCTGAGACTTGACCCAATTATTATTGTTGTTACTATTACTAATATTATTATTAGTAGTATGATGATTATTATTATCATGATTAGACTTGGCCTGGAAAGCATCTTTGCTAGGGCGGGTCGCAGGATAGACCACTGCTTGCTTGCAGCTGAGTGGCCGACTCTGCCAGGTCGCCCAGCGTGCAGTCACGAATGCTGGAGTTGATGCTGGAGCCTGAGTGGTGCCACAGCGTTTATTTCGCGGCCCTCACAGATGTCCCGTGTGCTTCGAAGCGATAGCGAACATGTCTGCAAATCAGCACTTCAGATTGCACGGCACATCACAGCAAAAGACTGTGGATCTGACAGTACTAGGAGCAGCAAGCGCCATGGTTCATGGTCCTTTGGACGCTACGTCGCCATCCTGATCTTCCATCCTCCTCGATCCTGATAGTTATCAAAGTCGACATAGGTTGACTTGGCGTCGCAACACAGAGAAACGGTGCTGGGGCGTTCATAGCAATGAGAACTTGAACCTGCAATGGCGTAAACCTGCCATGCGCTGACTGACTGACTGACTCACTCCCTCACTCACTCACACAGATGCACTGATCTCTCCCTCCCTCTCTCTCTCTCTCTCTCTCTCTCTCTCTCTCTCTCTCTCTCTCTCTCTCTCTCTCTCTCTCTCCTCTCTCTCTCGCTCTCTCTCTCTCTCTCTCTCTCTCTCTCTCTCTCTCTCTCTCTCTCTCTCTCTCTCTCTCTCGCTCTACCTCCCTCACTCATTTACTAATTCACTCGTCCGCTCACTCGCTTACTGCTCAGTTTCCCTCTCTCTCTCTCTCTCTCTCTCTGTCTCTCTCTCTCTCTCTCTCTCTCTCTGCATACACGTGTTTGCGCACAACACACACGCACACTCACGGAGATATGTGTTTTGTGTATATATATATGTATATAGGCACTTGTTTTATGTACTTGTTTGTTTACTTTCCAACATAGATGTTATATTGTTATCTGCGTTCAGATTTGCTATGTATGTTTGCATGTATATGTAGATTTTTTATTATATGCACATGTGTAGTTGTATGAAGTTATATGCATATGTATGTATGTAAGCTCAGCCATGCTCTCTTAAACGGAATAGCTTCAATACAGCAAAGGACGATCGCCATAGAATCAACTGTGCGACTGTGCATCAGAATCGTGTCATGTGGGTCACCTGGCATACATGGTCAGCCCAACATGTAGCACGCATCGTTTAGTTTTGAACTATTGAGACATGAGACCGCCAATGCCTAGATCCAGAATGAGCGAGGGACACGCAATAGAACCTTTGAGAATCAGAATAGGTTTTTGGGGTCCAGTGTACGATAAATATAAGGTCGGCTTCCCCGAGCGGCTCATCATGCCAAAGCGCTTGCAGCGGCTGCTCGAGAAGACCCGCGACGCCAGGGGCACGGTCGGTGAGTTTAGAATTGAGAGTCTGACCGCGGAGTGTGGTTTGGTATCTGCATAGCTACATATCTCATCGATAGTTCTATGCACATCATATTATGTATAACAGCTGTTTATGTATAGATATATACAGGTGTATATGCACGTGTACGGTGTTAGAAAGAAAAATCAGCGATGAATCCGTACTAGAGCAATACACAACAGCCGATATGTGCGCTTGTATGTAACTTCAGATGAGGCATGGGAAAGTAAAGACAGCAGCAGTCTCCATGTTGATCAAATCAAGCCGAAATAGTTGCCAATGTTATTCCTTCGCGTTCTTGATTATATCTATACTATTCACGGGCCTTTAAATTTTGGCGGCTCCTTCTGAAAAATGATAGACAAATGGGCCCCAAAACCCTATTCTAGTACCCTTATAGTAAGCTTTATAGGACCCTTGCAATTTCAACGGAACCCTTTCAAGGAGCCGCAAAGCCCTATGCGAGCCCCAAGACCCTATTCTGTAGTAAGGCCCGTTGTGGAACCCTATTATAGATCCCTTTTTTAGAACCCTTTTAAAGGAACCCTAGTCTTATTGTTGAGGGACATACGTTAAACACCAGCCCTGGGCTCGAGGCAGCGGTCGAGCGAGCGGGGTGGCAGTGGCCGAAAAGGAGAGGGTGGGGGGATTTTGGGGGGAGGGGGGATTTTAGGGGGAGGGTGGGGAGGGCGGACGTTAGGATTAAGGATCTAGGATGAAGGGTTTAGAGTTTTGGGGGTGAGAAGAGGATCCCAGGAGGATTTCGGGCTGGCTGCAGGCTTACTGAGGGCTTCACACTTCCTCATTTCAGATTTTAAGGTTGTGGTCACAAGGAGGTATGCTTTTGATGCTTTTGATATGGACCCTTAGAAGGGGGCGAAGGTCGAACACCCAACGAACCTGTACATTAGCCATGCTACTATGTGTATAATCATGTACATCGCCGGAAAAGTACGCCAACTTGGATTGAACATGCTTGCATTAAAGGTCCGTGGAGAAGCCGTTCTTGTTGTACGGCATCCTCAGTAGCCAAAGCCGTCGTAGTTTCAATGGTCCAACGAACCTGTACAGTAGCCATGCTACTATGTGTATAATCATGTACATCGCCGGAAAAGTACGCCAACTTGGATTGAACATGCTTGCATTAAAGGTCCGTGGAGAAGCCGTTCTTGTTGTACGGCATCCTCAGTAGCCAAAGCCGTCGTAGTTTGAATGGTCCAGCGAACCTGTACATTAGCCATGCTGCGAAGGGCTATAATCATGTACATCGCCGGAGAAGTACGCCAACTTGGATTGAACATGCTTGCATTAAAGGTCCGTGGAGAAGCCGTTCTTGTTGTACGGCATCCTCAGTAGCCAAAGCCGTCGTAGTTTCAATGGTCCAACGAACCTGTACATTAGCCATGCTACTATGTGTAATAATCATGTACATCGCCGGAAAAGTACGCCAACTTGGATTGAACATGCTTGCATTAAAGGTCCGTGGAGAAGCCGTTCTTGTTGTACGGCATCCTCAGTAGCCAAAGCCGTCGTAGTTTCAATGGTCCAGCGAACCTGTACATTAGCCATGCTACTATGTGTATAATCATGTACATCGCCGGAAAAGTACGCCAACTTGGATTGAACATGCTTGCATTAAAGGTCCGTGGAGAAGCCGTTCTTGTTGTACGGCATCCTCAGTAGCCAAAGCCGTCGTAGTTTCAATGGTCCAACGAACCTGTACATTAGCCATGCTACTATGTGTAATAATCATGTACATCGCCGGAAAAGTACGCCAACTTGGATTGAACATGCTTGCATTAAAGGTCCGTGGAGAAGCCGTTCTTGTTGTACGGCATCCTCAGTAGCCAAAGCCGTCGTAGTTTCAATGGTACGGGTTCCTGGGCAGTGCGAGAAACGGTAGTGGAATGAGTGGTGGAACGCAGCCTTCACAGCCAGAGCCACAAGATGCGTGGCGATGCATATGTGTGCACATGACAGTAGCCCCTCACATGCAGTTGGCCGTTGGCAGAGGGGAGGTGGAGATATACTCGGAAATGACACTGTTGCCGTTGCTGCTGTTGTAAGTCCGAAACCCTGTGTGGCTGCCTGTCATGACATCAGCGCTTGTTTGGACAAGAGCTTCGTGTACCGGGCTACATGCGGGCCTGCCACAGACATTGCGCTACTAATCCAATCGTCAAGCGGTAACCCTCGCAACTGATTGCTCTGAGTGATGGATCTACTATAGGGGCCTTAATAATTAGAATAGGGTATTGGGCCCATTGTACTATAAGTATAATAAGCAGCCCCCAAGATACTATTGGTAATTCTTTCGGCCCCTATAGTACAGCTTTGCAGCAGGAATGAGCTCTACCTCCGCCATGCGGCCTGCACTCGGGCCTGGAAGTAGGGGGATCCGGGGCTTCCGAAACAAAGAGTCGAAGGTCGGCTTGGGGAGTTTAGGGTTTTAATTTAAGGTTAAGGGCTTGGGATTAGGGGCTTACTGGGGCTTATAGGGTTTAGTTTATGGTTTAGCCTTAAGGTTTTGGGCTTAAGGGCTTACAGGCTAGGCGTGGGGTTTAGGGCTTATAGGGTTTAGTTGAAGGTTTAACCTTAGGGTTTGTGGCGGGTCGTTCTACGTGGAGTGGTCCATGCTGCAAATTTTGTGTGTAGGAAGATACGATTGGTGAATATCCTTGGTAATCTCTGTCGCTACGGAGGTGTGTTGCGGTCCTCTGGATATTGTCAACAAACTTTCTGACTACTGTTGCTGTCATGACTGGAACCTTATGGAGGGAAGCCTTGCATGCTGCTGACAAGTTTGAACCCGTGGCCTCCAGCAGTAGCCAAGGCAAAATTGAACTGCAACAGGCAGCTCTGATAGGTGGCATTGAAGGTTTTTGACATGTGTGCGGGCAGGTCGAAGAGAGGCTTGATGTTGATTAGTTAGACTACAAAGGTCGCCATGGAGGAGTAATGCTGAAGCTTAAATCCCGAACAGGGAGCCTCTATTGTACCCTTACCCTCATCGGGACCTGCAGAAAAAGTTGTTGTTGGTGCGTGTACGGCCAAGGTTTCTATATCTTGGACACAGTGCGGCTTTCGTTCAGTTGCCAGGGATCTCAGCCGAGTTTGGCCTGTCGTCAGCTTGCCGAAAGGGAAGGCACAGTGTCGTCTTGTCAGCTGCGAAAACGGAATGTTGCCTTCGATATTGATTCTCTACCGAGCGGCTTGCAAGTAGTGTTGTGCTGTTGAGGTCGTGGTGAGACGCCGGCTGAACAGGCCCTCAGATAATGCAAGCTTGTATTTCGGCCTGCACTGCTGTTCGAGCACTACACCACATGACTCTGAATGCGCTGGGGCACTTCACTTACTAACCCACGAAGCAAGAACCAGCCCCTGGCTGCCTCGACTCTAAGACAGAACTGTAAAGAGCATGCGACACTGTCAGTGTAGCGGCTGTGGCGCTGTGTCGCTCCATCTAGACTCAACAGCAATCATCTTGGATCCAATTTCTTTGCAACAAAGTGTGCAGACCTGATCTCAAACTGTTGTGCCTCGGCTGTCACAGCCTGCTCCGCAGGTAAAGTGCTGCATGAAAGTCCTTGAAGAGTTCGAGAAGTGCACCGTAGAGGTGCCGTGACTTCTGAGTCTGGATTCCATCTATCTCAACGCTGTTGACTCTACTACCACTAAGAACAGTCATACCACTGCTGTACTGACTAGTACTAGTACTAGTACCAGTACAAGTACTTGAACTAGTAAGAGTACTGGCACCAGTCCTACGACTGCTACTGCTACTGCTACTGCTACTGCTACTACTACTGCCACTGCCACTGCGACTGCCACTGCTACTGCTACTGCTACTGCTACTGCTACTGCTGTTACTGCTACTGCTGTTACTGCTACGGCTACTGCTACGGCTACTGCTACGTACTGCCGCTACTACTGCTACGACTACTGCTATTGCTACTGAGACTGCTACGGTTCGGACGACGACGACGATGCCGACGACGACGACGACTGCTACTACTCCCACTACTGCTGCTGCTGCTAGCCGAAAACTGCTTCTTCTCAGCTGTTGCTGCTGGTGCCGTGGCTGCTGCCACTACTGTGATGCAAGCTGTTATCAGCATGACGATGTTTACCACGATGCTGGCCGAAGTTCGGGTCGAGGGTCAAGGCTGCATAGAAGCAGCCGCGACAAGAACGGTATAGTCCGCGGTGGCGCCTATGAGCCTTGTGCTCATACTGTTGCTGTGAAGTCCCAAAGAAAACTCAGTGCTCCTCTCAGTGCTTTATCGCATTGCACTTGCAAGGCTGAGGGTGTGCGGCTCCTTCGCCGGAAGAGCGGCTTTGCATCCGGGGCTGGGGCCTCGGCGGAGGTCGTTGTTGGTGCTGTTCTTCCGATTGCGTCTTTGTTTTCCAGCATTTTCAATGTTTTATGATCGTATGAACTTGTTGTGCAAAAGTCACGCTGAAGTCTGGCTAGGATCCCTTTTGCGGCTGTTCTTTCTATGGTAGTGTGACGGAGTTTCAGACTCATGTCTAGGAGCTTCTGGGATTTCTCATGGCTTTAGGGTACCTCGGGATTGGTCAGGGATCTCGAGGCTCTGGGCTAAGTCTAGAACGACATTCCCGATGGCGATTTCATGCCGGCGAACTTCAGGGCCCTGCATAATGAGTCATGAGTCTAATGTTCTTTTGCAATGCAACTATGTACCCTGAGCCCGATTCGGACTGAAAAACACCCCAATACTTGTACCAAAGATAGCACTGGAGCAGGAAATGACAAATACCGGGTCCACGAGGAATAGTGGTCGTCGTCGTAGTAGTATGTTAGCAGCAGCAGCAGCACTAGCACTAGCAGCAGTAGCAGCAGTAGCAGCAGTAGCAGCGGCAGTGGTCTATAACTTAAGTGTTGCAAAGAGGAGGCAGCGGGATCTGCAGCAATGGCAGGTGACCCCCAAATTCCCGAACTCGCAGCGTCAGTCGACCAATCGCTGTACTCTTTCGGATGTGAGGCGATGAAAATCCTCCCTTTCTTGTCCACGGTCAGGTGCGCGGAGAAGGAGGCTACGCCGACGTCAAGCTGCTCTGCTACACCGACCTCGGAGTCCATAAGGTGGGAGTGCATTTTCGACTTGGGTTCTGCATTAATTCAATTTCACTCCCTTCTGAACCGCACAGAGGTGTTAGGCACCTATGTTGCAATGCAGTGCTTCTTCCCGCAACCCCTTCGTGAAGGCAGGAAACATAAGAAACACTGTTGATCCCCCGTCCGTCCGCTTCTGTCTTGCAGTATCATTGCTTTCTGGCGTTTCTAGGGAACCATTGATGGAGGAGAATGTTCGCACAAGTTCCGCGATCCCCTTGTCAGTTCGTACATCCAACGTCCAATGCCCACGCTGAAATCTCCCGGGCACACGTTGCTTTTCTCCCTTAGCACTGCAGGCATTCGATGGCACGGAGATACCCCTTCGAATCATTGGCGAGGCTCTGCGGGATGGCTGCTTGTAGTGGTTTTCCGCTACAAGTGCGAATAGTATAGCTAGTGATAGTGCCAATAATAGAGTATACCAGTGATACCGACGAGACACTGAGAGTAAGGGCTGGGACTCCAGAGCAGAACACCACTTCCATGGCTTCTGTTAGCCCTACGATGCTAGTTACGACCGGCAGCACCACGACAGTGCGGTCACTACTTACCTGCTTCATGGTCATGATCATCATCATCATCACCATCATGACGACCATTGCCATCACCACCATCATAATCATCATCATCTTCTTCATGACATTCCTGAAGATCAGAATCGTCGAATTCAGCAGCACTGTCACCTGATTATCGCAATCATCGCCATCATCTGTTAGTTAGTTATGGTCTGTGTAGCCTTGCCATTGCCAGTACTATCGTCGCTCTGATCACCAGTCGCGTTGTCATAGCTGTCACTGCCACCGCCACGAGCATCATCATCATCATCATCATCATCATCATCATCGAGCATCATCATCATCATCATCATCATCATCATAGACATCATCACCTTCTTTTCTCGTCATCATCACCATCACCACCATCATCATAATCAACAGCATATGTAGCATCATCTTCAGTTTCATCAGTACCACCATCACCATCAGTATCACCAGTATCATCATCATTGACATAAGTTGTCGTGGTCCACCTTCCCAGAGCCGTCTGCGTTTGCACTCAAAATGCGACATCAGGTGCAGCTGATCCTTCAGAGCTACGAACAGGTGGCCCTGACACTTTCCTTTGACGTGTTGAGTTTGTGGCTCCTCATGATTACCGGGTTTGCTTCTGCCTCCCCAAATCCCGGGTACGTTCAACCTGGAAGCTGCCCAAACCTGAGACGTGACAGGGTCGTGGTGTTGCAGCGTTTGATATTGCCTCGGTGCATATAGTCTTAGGTAGACGACGTACAGTTTGTGTAGTTCAACGAAAAGGGACATAAATTGAACAAGATGTGCATGTCGAAGGTTAATATAGAAAGACATACAGACATGCTACCACACTCTTGCACGAATTCGTAGCTTCACACTTTCGGCAAGCCGTCAAGCAGGTAAAGCATCGAATGCATCTCGCATACGAGGCTCGGTGGTGGAAGGGACTGATGTCTGCAGATCTGAAGCTGAACGCGATTTCAGGAAGAGGATCTGGATGAGAGTAGCAGTAGCAGTAGGGTGTGCTCTGGAGTTCCGGGGAACCAACTATCGGAGCCATGTTCGTGGACTAGCTACACGGCCCTGGCTGTAACGATCCTCGGGCCCTCCCACTGCTTCGCATGTTCATTCACTTCCCATCTGCCGAGGTCGTGGTGATTATGAGGAGATGCCAAACATCTCAGTGTCCTTCCTCGTACACTGTTAAAATGTCAGGTTTTTGCCAGTGTGGCTAAACCAGCCCTGTCGCTTCCCGTGCGATTGCTGAGTTTCGCTAGACTACTTTGTTGTACCATATTGTAGAGGTTAAATAGTATACCAGCCGTGGGTCTATATCTTTCCGTCATGAGGTGGAAAGGCAGTGTTTTTCGATTCCAAACACTAAACTGCAGCCTGGTATCTGATGCATCATAGCTTCTGCCTTCCTGAATCCCCAATATCCCCCAAAACCCTCATGTACGACTCATATGCGATCAACACCTACCTCCCCTAAACCCTAAACCCCTCAACCCTAAACCCTAATCCACCTCAACCCCCGGTCTGCTGCTTCACTTCTCCTCGTGCATCGCAGGTGAACCGCGGCAGCTTCGATCGCAAGGGCTGAATCGGCACGAATCCCCAGGGTTTTCGAACACAGGGCTTTCAAGGGGTTTAGGGTTTAGGGTAGGGTTAAGGATTCATGTACCAGCTTAAGCTTGCGCCACTAACACGCTTGAAGCAGGCTTCGTTGTTGTCGCTGGTTCCGACGTGCTGCTTTTGGTGTGGCTGTGCTGAGGTTCTCACCAGCTTGCCCAAGCAGGGGTTGCCACTTCTTCTGCGCGAAGGTTGAGGCAGCGATGCACGAATTCCCTATAAGTCGGAATTTGGGTGACTTTCTCTTTCAAAGGCCCAACCGGACTCCAGTGACTCTAGTGTGACGCAAGCCTTCATCAAATGTTGCTGGCCTCACTGTCGACATCGACAGGAAGCTGGGACCCGGACGTCAAAGTCTTAACCTGAAAAATAGGTCCTTGACAGTTCTCGTACAGTTGCTTCAGGGGTTCGTGATGATACTGGTGAGGCGGCTTCGTAGGATTCCCGAAGAATGTGGCTTCAACATGGAATTTTGCATCGACCCTTCAAGATGGCTACGATCTTCACAAATCGAGAACTGTGGATTCGGCCTCAATGCAGCGGTCCGGAAATGCAGCTCACAATTACCTGAAAGAGTTTAGACTGCGAAGTTCTGGTACTGGTTATACCAACCGATCGGCATGGTGCGTTTTGATGTGTTTGACAAGTTGCATGCGGCGGTGCTTTTAGCCGTGAAGAGGCCGCGAGAGGCCTTGTTGAATCCTACCAAGCTTGACTTTTCGGTCATATGCGGATTTAAAGCGAAAGGTTCAGATTCATATCCCAAACTGGGTTTTCCCGCGCCTTGCAGCAAGCACCGCTTCCATTTGCAGATCCGAATGTGGTATAGACCCAGACAGTCCCCGTAGCATCCTTACTGAATCCTAGTTAGATAATCAAGTGGCAGGCTGCCAATCCTGCGCCCAATCGCCGGCTGCTGGAGGGCTTCCCTAGCACCAGACACCCTGTAGCTCATTTTCGGGTTTCCGGTTTTAGGCTTAAGGGCTTGGGGTTCTACCCCCACTAAATAGGCCCTATCAAGAGCTGCTCAGACCTCTTCCAAAGCCCTGTGAAAATGCTACCCCCATTAACGCAAGCCCTGTGATGCCCAGTACACGCTGATGCTTCACACCGCGCAAACTACTCGTTTAGTTCCGGGTTGTGCTTCAGAGGGTGCTTGTGACGGGCCCAGGCCTTCTGTTCTCAATCCTTATATTGTTAGGATATTATTCCAATTCTTATTTCTGGTGTACCTTACATATATTTATTATCTTATACTACACAACAGAATTTTATGGTCTAGATTAATTAATGACTAAGTCCTCGGCATAGCTGTGGATCGGTTTAGAGTTCCGAGGTTCGTTGCGAAAGGGAGCCGACTCTGGACTCTTCACTAAGGGGTAGTGATCAGGCATTGGGCAGCAAAAGGCATAAGTTCTGAAGCTTCGAGATGAACGGTCAAGGGCTAGTCCTGGAGGTTACTTCCTCTTGTGCCTTCCAGCGGTGGCTTTCAATTTGTTTGTCTGAAAATGTTGCATAATACTACCTGGAACTTCTTGCGCTGGAAATCGCGAGTCAAGGTCAAGTCCGAACATATCACTGTCCAAAACTCTTCTGAGCATGTCACGCATGTCTGTCACCAGAAACACCACTGATAATTCTGCACAGTGTCATGGCTCAGGTATATTATGCACATGAAGGATGTTTTCCACAGTGCAAGGTTCCCTTTTCCGAGCTGGGATTATGGTCAAAGATCCGAACTTGCGAAAATTTGGTGTCTATATTGGAGCCCCTTAGCTTCTGAAACTTCTGTACCGTTCTGCCACGGTGGCAGCTTGCCGTCTTTGGCACACATGAAGGCGGGCCCGAATATAAGAAGATGGCTCGCGAGAAGTTCCAGAGAAATTTCTGGAGTCAGACTGAAAGTCCTGGCTCCAGAGCTCCGTGCGAACGGGGCGTCATCGGAAAAAGAAACGTGTGAACCCTGTGATTCTCAGATGGCCAGGACAGCACTTAGGGGTGTTGGTCTAGCTGTAGCTGAAGTTCCGCGCCTTAGCCTTAACAGGTGTTGCCGCAATTCAATGCTCGCGGTGGAGGAGTGGCAGCTGTAACTTCTAGGAGAACTACACAAGTTGCGCTCCAACCGTCCTGGAGAGACTGGGAACGCCTCAAGGTGCTGACTCGGACCCAGGCAGCCCCGAGGATTCGTTCACCTGGCTCCGTTACGCAGAATCAAGGGCAGGGTTTGGGGCGATTTGGGGGTTCAGGAGGAGGATTTCAGCTAAACCCAGTATCAGGATTCCGCGGGACAGGTGGACGGTGCCAAACAATTTGTCCGATGCCTCTGGAGCGATGCTCCCTTAAATTGTTAGATAGGGTCGATACTGGGCAGGGAACATGTCTGAGGAGGGATCCACCTCCCTGTCGGGGCAATCGCTCTTTCAGAGCCCTCTGGTGGTAGGTAGATCCTTTTGTTGAAAGGAGTCTACAGCATTGCAGAAGGAACATACCTGGCTGCTTGATTTTTCAGCAAGCAAATGTTGACATCTAGTCAACGCCTGTTGTTGAGCATGCCTCAGCACCGGCTGCATCCCAAGAAGCATTTCCCCCCCCCCCCCGCCGCGTGCCACACTAACCCAATCGTCTTAACACTTAATGTTGGAATGCCAGAGGGTTTACCACACTGTTTGTGGAAGAATGTTGCTGTAATCGCAAAATCATACACACAACAAGACTCAATAATTGTACCAAGATAAACACAAGCAAACATACTACGCTACGACTGTGTACCACACTCCGAGAGCGAAGCCAGGCCAGAGCGGCGAGCTGTGCAGGAGGCCGCCAGCGCCCTGGGTTTCCTGGAGGCTCCAGCAGCTGCTTCTTGTATTCTTCTGACTGGTTTAGCTTGTTTTGGACACAAGCCTTGTCTGGTGGCTGTGTGAGTACCTAGCTGCATGGATTGTTTGAGGATGCAGATATAGATGGATGCAGATCATGCTGGTGATGTCGCTGATGATGATCATGATGATGGGAGGGCACTCAGGGTACACTCCAAGAGAACAGTTGCAAACGTGCGACGGAATGAATCCTACAGCGCCAGCGCAGCAGAACCAATTCACGAGAACCCTGCAGCATGGCACCCATGAGCAGACGAAGTACCTCTCAAATTGCTCACTTATCAGCTGCCAACGGTAGGGTACGAGCCTACAATGGCAATGACGGGCAACTGAGACTTGCGTAGTGATTGATTCCGGGTACCGCTGATTGGCCCAACCCCCCCCCTAACCAGCCCCCCAGCAAACAACACAGCAATGTCAACGGTGGTAGTCAGTGCTCGGAATGGGCCGAAGTGTCGTTCCCGGGCTTGGAAAAATCTTATTCTGGGATTGCCTGGATTACACGACATTGTTGATGTGGTGTGTGCACGCACGCGCACGCGCGCGCGCGCACACACGACTGAAACGCTTTGAGACACCGAGCGTTTATCAAACAAGCAAAAGCTCCTGCCGCTGCGGGCGAGGCTGCCGGAGCCCCCGGAGGCTTCGAGAGCATTGTTCGTTTGACCAATTCGGGGGGTTTGAGAGGTCGGTTTAGGCTTCAGCATGCTCGAGGGGTTGGTGCAGCCAAGTTGGCATGCCCTAGGGTTCGTAACAGAAGATTCTGTACGGAGCCAGATTGGTTGCATCGCCTTCACCTCATGACACGTCCATGCTGCTCGAAACCTTCCAGTTGCAGACCATGCATGCGAAGAGTCGGCGCCGGAGCTGTCACTCGAACATCCGCGTCGACGCAGAGCTATGGTCCGCGTCGGCATGACACAATCTTTCTCCAAAGCTCAAGCCGTCGTCAGTAGTAAGTGTTCACGCTCGCCGTCTCCGTGCCTGCCGCAGACTCCGGTGCGTGCTCCTCGCCTTCTACAAGGCCAGCGACCTCCCTGTGCTGGCGTTGCAGTAGGCAGTGAATCACAGGAGTGGGAATGGTTTCGTCGGTCGAGTATGACAATGAAGAGACTTTCAGCTGACAAAGATGCCTCCATGTCCAGAGGGTTCAAGGTCAGACGATTGCTGATTGTTCAGACCTTTATGTTCCGCAGTGCGCCGGCAAGGCCCCAACCGTTCACTTTCGATGAGGACGAGTTGAAAGATGAGGCGGGTCCAAGAACCCGAGACTAATGAATGATTAGGTTAAATGCCACGAGCTTGGAGTTTGAGTTCACGTAAACGTCGGTCTGCCTGGCCGGGCGCCCAACTGCAGAATCGGGCTGGAAGAGTTTGATGGATGGGTTGGCGGTACACCCATGCCCTTGTACAACAGCTTGAGATCGTCCCTTCGACAACCAGAGAGTGTAGGCAAATGTGTGCTGAAAATGCCAACAGATGGACTTCGCACGTGCTCTACAGAGAATGAGAGACCAATGATCTTTGGAGTCTAGTGCGACATTAGGTTCACTTGTTCCGATCCGCATAACTTCCCTCCCGCAATGCAAAGGCGGCTGGCACTGCGGGAGGCGGGGTTGTGCCTTCTGCCCATTTGCAGGGACTGTGAGGGTCCTTGCCGAAGCACCCTAGATTCCTAGATTCGGGGAGCATTTCGATCCTCGGTGGTTAGTATCATTCCGCGAGAATCTCTCCACGTTTCGATTGTGCATACACGGTATGGCTGTTCCTCGTCTCTGCATGTTTACATCCATCGCTCTGGCAGAATCCGGTGCCTGCTCCTCACCATCCAGGCCCTGGCGTTGGGTCGGGAAATTGCCTGAAGTGTAGTCTATGGGCACTCGACCCGACTGTAAAGCGGAATACCTAGTTTTGGCCTCCGTTGTAGGGCTTCCGATCAGGGAGGGTGTAGGGCATGATGTTTTGGGGCTCTGTAGGTCCGCAGGGAACAACGATTTGTGGCTTGCAAACATACTGGTCACAGTCACGTATCACGGTCATCATCGCCAGGTGGGGCCAACATCATCAATGCTATCAGTGGTTTCTCGTGTAATGCTTTGGCTGTAGCACAGCTTGCAAGGCTTGGGTTCGAGCGGTATTCTTTCCCCGGAATGAGTACTCATATCCACAGTACAGCTGACAATCCCACAACAAAATGGGGCATCGACAGAGATCTCCATAACTCTTTACATGAAGCACCCTGACATACTAGACAATGGCTGATTGTTCAGACCTTTGAGTTCCGCAGTGCGCCGGCAAGGCCCCAACCGTTCACTTTCGATGAGGACGAGTTGAAAGATGAGGCGGGTCGAAGAACCCGAGGCTAGTGAATGATTAGGTTAAATCCCATGAGCTTGGAGTTTGAGTTCACGTAAACCGTCGGTCTGCCTGGCCTGGCGACAACAAACTGAGCGTGTGACGATCCCTTTGACACCCAAAGCGCGTGAGCAAATACGTGCTGAAAGTGAAAGCAGATGGACTTCCAGGCCAAGGAAACCCAATACCACGTGCAAGAACTTCGGACATGCCCTTCAGAGAATGAGAGACCGATGATCTTTGGAGTCGAGTGCGACATTAGGTTCACTTGTTCCGGTCCGCATCATCTCCCCTCCCGCAAAGCACAGGCGGCTGGCACTGCAGGAGGCAGGGTTGTGCCGTGTGCCCATCTGCAGGGACCTTGCTTGCTGAAGCACCCCAGATTCGGGGAGTCAGGCTACCATAGTTTTCGATCCTCGGTGGTTAGTATCATTCAGCGAGAATCTGTTCACAAAATCACAGCATCTCAAGTTGGCAATGTGCCTACTGCCAGCCGCAACATAGTGACAAGCATTGAGGATGGATGCGTCGCTGACCCGCTGCGCGGCGCTTGCCTAAACCGTGAAACCTAATCAGTCATGAACAGGTTCCGAGCTCACCCTTTCAAGTTCTTCACCATGCCCGACAAAGAATCTGCACGCAGAGCAAGCGAGCAAGCAAGCAAGCAGACCAAGCCCATACAGGTCCAGGGTTCAGGGGCTCAGGGTTTAGATGTTGGGGCGTCAGGGCCGCAAAGGCCTTTCTATATCTGGCTTGGATCGGTACACTCCATGAGGCCAGGCTCTTCAAAACACGCACACGGTGTGTCTGCACGCCTGTCGTCAACTCTTCTTGACTGTTCTGCATCCATCGCTCTGGCAGAATCCGGTGCCTGCTCCTCACCATCCAGGCCCTGGCGTTGGGTCGGGAAAGTGCTGAGGCTTGCCTGAGGTGTTGTTAGGGAGGGTGTCAGGCCTGATGTTGTTGGGCTCTGGCAAAGGCGAGGCAGAGAGACATCACGAAAAGTATCACAGTCTTCATCGCCATGTAGTGCCGACAACATCAACACTGTCAGTGATTTATCGTCCAATGCTTTTGCTGGAGCAGAGCACGCAGAAGTTTAGCTTCAAGTGGTTTTCTTCCCCGAAAAAGTGATTTGCAACCCGCATCCACCGTACATCTGAAGAGTGGAAAACCCCATAACCAGATGGGGCATCGACAGAATCTACGTATCTCCTTACATGTTACATGAAAAACAGCACCCTGACGTTCCAAGCTGGAGTCGGAATGGTTTCGTCGGTCGAGTATGAAGAGACTTCTAGCTGCTAGCTGCTGGTCAGTTGGTGACTGGTCCATATGCACAGTTTCAGCCACAAAGGTGCCTCCGTGTCCAGAGGGTTCAAGGGGAGACGTTTGCTGATTGTTCAGACCTTTGTGCTACGCAGCGCGCCGGCAAGGCCCCAACCGTTCACTTTCGATGAAGACGAGTTGAAAGATGAGGCGGGTCGAAGAATCCGAGACTAACGAATGGTTTAAATGCCACGAGCTTGGCGTTTGTGTTCACATAAAGCCGATGTGCCTGGCCTGGCGCAAACAGCAGAATCGTACTGGAAGAGTTTGATGGATGAGTTGGCAGTGCACCCATGCCCTTCTACAACAACCTGAGTGTGTGACGAACCCTTCGACAAGAAGAGTGTAAGCAATGCCTGATGGACTTCTAGGGAAACCCAATACCACGGGCAAGAACTTCGACATGCCATGACATGCCGGACATGCCCTTCAGAGAATGAGAGACTGACGATCTTTGGAATCGAGTGCGAGATTAGTTTCACTTGTTCCGATCCGTATGACTTCTCCTCCCGCAAAGCACAGGCGGCTGGCACTGCCGGAGGCAGGGTTGTGCCGTCTGCCCATCTGCAGGGACCTTGCTGAAGCACCCCAGATTCGGGGAGTCAGGTTACCATAGTTTTCGATCCTCGGTGGTTAGTATCATTCGGCGAGAATCTGTTCACAGAATCACAGCATCTCAAGTTGGCAATGTGCCTACTGCCAGCCGCAACATAGTGACAAGCATTGGGGATGGATGCGGCGCTGACCCGCTGCGCGGCGCTTGCGCCTAAACCATGAAACCTAATCAGTCATGCACAGGTTCCGAGCTCGCCCTTTCTTCACGATGCTTGACAAAGACTCTGCACGCAAAGCAAGCAAGCAAGCAAGCAAGCAAGAGGTCTACCAAGCCCATACAGGTCCAGGGTTCAGGGGCTCAGGGTTTAGATGTTGGGGCGTCAGGGCCGCAAAGGCCTTTCTATATCTGGCTTGGATCGGTACACTCCATGAGGCCAGGCTCTTCAAAACACGCACACGGTGTGTCTGCAAGCCTGTAGTCAAGTCTTTCTCGTCTGTTCTGCATCCATCGCTCTGGCAGAATCCGGTGCCTGCTCGTCACCATCCAGGCGCTGGGGTTGGGTCGGGAAAGTGCTGAGGCTTGCCTGAGGTGTTGTTAGGGAGGGTGTCAGGCCTGATGTTGTTGGGCTCTGGCCAAGGCGAGGCAGAGAGACATCACGAAAAGTATCACGGTCTTCATCGCCCTGTAGTGCCGACAACATCAACACTGTCAGTGATTTATCGTCCAATGCTTTTGCTGGAGCAGAGCGACCAGAATGTTAGCTTCAAGTGGTTTTCTTCCCCAAAAAAGCGGTTTGTAACCCGGATCCACCTTACAACTGAAGAGTCGAAAACCTCACAACCAGATGGGGCGTCGACAGAATCTATCTATCATCTATCTACATATATATATATATATATAAATATATATATATATATATATATATATATATATATAATTAGAGATAGATATGTGTCTTCACATGAAGAAGCACCCTGACATTCTAATCGGAGTACATGAACAACATGTTATTCTCGACAGTTTGCCTGCAACTTCGGCGGAGGCTTCCTGCATTCGCTTTCGACAGCGAGGAGGAAGCAAAAGAGGAGGCAAAAAGTTGATTAGATGCTTTGCGCCGGGCTCGCGGTTCTGAGGGTTTAGTTTTGATGGTCGAAGGGAACCCTGAACTGCACAGTTCAAGACATTGGATAGTGGCACGAAGAGAACCTAAAGGCTTTCTGGTTCTGAACACTTCCAGGTGTGTGTGTGTGTGTGTGCGTGTTTGTGTTTGGTGTGTTCCGGAGCTTATATCTCAGGTGAGGGCATGCAGGTGCTTTGTTCTCGTTACTGTTATTGGCTGCGTTTGTGCACTGAAGCCCGGCACATCAGAGGCATGGACAGCAGCAGCGCCGGTGGCGGAGGCGCAGGAAGATTCTCTGAATGTGTAGACGTATTCCTTCAAGTTCCTTCTTCGGGATCGGATCAGCATTGTTGTCCGAATTTGCAAAATCTCACCGAGTCAATGAAATCTTTGCATCTGCTGTGGACAGGCATCGACGTTGAATCTACCAAAGATCCATGTTGTTCGTCCAACCACCAAAACCCTGAACCCTCAAATCCAAATCCCTACACCCTAAACCGCAACACTTAAACTTACAACCCTACTCCTTAAACCCCATCCTTACATCCGTCCAGGCGGGAACGACTGGAGGCCGGGTTGAGACCAAGCAGCCGTGCTCGAGCATCTATGCCAGACAAGCTTTTCAGGTTTCGGTATCAGGGTCTCGCATTTTTTGAATTCGCCTGGGTCTAGGGACTGTCGTCCTCGGTTGGAGCCTAAGGCTTAGGGGCGCTGTCATGCAGGATGGAGCTCGATTGCATGCGCGCGATGCTGCCGACTTGAGTTTACATGTTCGGGTGCAGTCCGTGGACTGTGTGGTGCTGGGATGGTTCACTGCCGTTCTTCATGGCCAACACCCTGGTGGTAATGACCTTGGTGGTGGCAATCCCGACGCCTGTCAAGATGACAGCCAAGGATGCGACAACCATCCACAACCCCCAGGAGTCAATATATAGCCATCTTCATGAGTAATTGCGCTGAGTGATGGTGATGATGCTGACAGAGGCGATGGGGAAGAACGAGAAGAATTCAGTTTTCGGATTGTGGTTATGGGATCCATATTCCTTGCTAGCTGGTAGCCTATACGCCACATGGTTGTTCTGAGCTGTTACAGCTGTCAACCAAGCCTGACTGTTGAACTGCCGGAAGCCATACCCCAACGGGGCACATGGTTTGGGGTGTAGTAGACCCTGACTCAGGCATCCCGTAAACCAACATCCCAACACCCTCTGCCCTGGCCGACAGAATCCGGTGGCTGCTCGTCGCCCTCGGCCAGGTGGGCCAGACCAATCCTGGTTCAGGGTTTAGGGCTTAGGGGTTAGGGTTGAGTTGTGGTCCTTCCTGGAGCCTCTGGGCTCTTATCTGTATCCTGAATGCAGACGTCTCGATATAGTCATCCTAACAGGGCTACAACATATCTCAAGATGATCTTCAGTTCGAGTTAACAAAAAACACGCCATGCAGCCTGTCCTGCCGACTGTTTCGCCAAAGGCCTGAGCCTGTCGCCTTCGAGGACGAGGGTGCCGAGGAAGTGAAGGAGGAGGTGCAGCAAGTCCTTTTGCACGGACAGTCTTCCATCTTGCCAGGGATCTCCTTTTCATTCATTTCCTGTGTCACGGATACACCAAAACCTGTACTTCCCACAACATCTGCAGTTTCATCGTACCGAGGCCGCCGGCACGACTGGAGGCGAACCATTCTTATATTGCTTGTGCCTGTCTTGGGCGTAGTGTCGGACGCATGCCAGCCGCCAGCCGTGGAAGTGCAGGAGTCAGTTGCGATGAGTTGCGGTCGATCCTTGCCTCCGAGCTTGTTTGACACACTCCTCCCAGTAGGTCTTCCCAAAGTTAGCACTACATCTGTATAGGCAGAGGCCCAAGCTGTTCAAGAGTAACTTGCTCTGGATGGAATTTCTCCCACAGTCCTTCGACAGGACCGAAAGCTTCACAGGTACAGCAAGTCCTTCTACCCAATAGTGTCAATTGTGTTCAATAGTGCACATAGAAAGCTTCCCACTTATATACAGCAAATCCTTCTTCTCGGATTTCCCGACATCCCTGACAGAATCCGGAGCTTGCTCGTCGCCCTCCAACAGGCCCGTGTTGAGTGCAGGGCAATTCGAGTATCCAGGTGCAAGCCAGTTACACCAAGGTAGCTCCAGTTAGGGGATTGGTATCTGCGTAACTTTGTGCTATGTCTTGAGAAACTTCGTGGTTCATCCATAAACAGGATGTTTGTTCATGCATTTCAAGAACCCCCCCTGTGACCTGATCATGCCCATGGTGCTGCACCAGCTCCGTTTGCTCAATGCATACTTCTACTGTCTTTACTCGCAGCGAGTACTTGTGTAACCTGCTACGGATGTTGTTCCTCGCTTGTCAGGGTCTTGCATCCGTCATGATGATGACTGTGGCCGGTATATGTTTGTGACCAGCAATGCTGTTCTGAGTTATTGCCATCATTAACACTGTTGCGGATACTCTCATAGCCTAGTATCATCGCTCGACGCACATCATTGTAGAGACTGCAACCCCTGGAGGCCGGGTGCAGAGCCCTTCAGCTTCAACTTCGAAGATGTGGCGGACGAGGCGCGATATATCTTTGCGGTTCTTGGGAGTGCCAGGGCAAATTAGGTGAGCATAGACGTGGGAACCCGTTGCATAGTAAGCTTCAGCTTGGGCACGGGGAGTAGGACGACGTCGACCTCGTCGTGGTCGTGGTCGTCGCAGTTCGTCGCAACAGCGCAGGTGATAAATAAATCTCCAATTTCCACAGCCCCCGACCTTGGACAAAAAGCACTTTCACCACCCTATTCGACTTCCAAAACCCGTAAAGCCCTACACCCTACAGCCAGAAACCCCGAGAAGCCCTTGTGTGAGGCCATCGCAGAGGCGCCGAGCTCATCGGAGTTGGCCCAAGCCTCGGGGAAGGAAGGTCAGATCGGGTTCCACTCCAGGAGTGTCCCAACCTGAATGAACTCGAACGCGGGCTGCAAATTTGTTGATGCGGGGGCTGAAGCCGAAGTCTTGAGTTGGCGATGCTTTCGGTGCATTTCCTCTTCACGTCGCATTCATTGGCGGAAGCCCTTTTGACTTCATCTATGAAGACTCGAAGCACAAGTAGAGCGAATGTTAGCAAAGCAGTCACTACCAAGGCGGCAGGAACAGCTGGAGGCCGGTTTGCTTGGCACAGCGGCACATAGGACACAGGAGATCGGTCTTCTCAGTCGCGGCGGGCTTTTGTTGCTCGCATCATCTGGATGCTCCAAAGTCGGCAAAAACGAGAGACCTCGCAGGGGTTCGGTCGAAGATAACCCCCAGCACGACTCAACACTTTGGCGCTGCGTAGCTGAAAATATCCTCATGCCCAGTCTGAGGTTCTGAAGCTAAGTCTATTGGATTGCGAGGTGATGCTTAGGTAGCATCAGATTCCCGCAGCACCCCGCAATGCGTGCTTAAGACCTTTAGCTTGCACTTCCACCGCTTCGCTTGGATATTGTGAAACAGGTTTACAAGCAGGGTCGTGGTCAAAAGGTAGAGTTCACTTGCGGCCTGAAAACCAAAGCCTCTGTCAGAAACCGGTGCTTGCTCGTCGCCCTCTACGAGGCCATGAGCGGAGGGAGCAGAAGATGCAACTGTCAGCTTGGTACTTCTGAGTCCGGGTTTGCGTATGAAATTTCACAGGAACTGTATTGCGAGAGGGTGTTGTTGGAATGGACGCTTTGCCTCCCTTGCCGGGTCCGCACTAGACTCTATAGACCCAACGCCCTATATAAAATCAAGGGTCTTCATCCCTGAGACACTAGACCCTGAACAAAAGGTAAACAGGCAAAGGCAGCCTTGCGTTTCGACCGCCTGCAGAGGCCGGTGCCACTCGCGTTTGACGAGGACGTCGACGAAGAGGGCGACCCGAATGAGGCCCCTTGGTAGAAGCAGTCTGCACTCTATCTACAGATAGCTGTGTTGCGGGGGAATATATGTCTGTATTTGATTAATGCAACGCAATAACAGCAATGTAACGTGAAGCCCTGTAATGCAACATAGTTTTAAGTGCTACCATGCCACACATTAACGTCATGCAGTGTAGTGCAATGCAGTTTAACGCATCGTAATCAAAACATAAGATAAGACCCAATACATATACTGCATATGCGCATCTACACATTCTACTGTTGACAAAATAGCGTCGAGGGGCATGGCTTATCGTTGCGGACAGCTTTACCTTGCTGTTTATTAATGGCTTGTGCTTCCTGGTCTGCTACTGCATTCCGGCGACCTCGGCACTGACAAAGTGGGATTCTGAAAGTTGCAATAAGGGCTGCGCCCG